AATAGTTTCCTACACTGACATAAAACTTGCCCTAACTCAGCCATGGCCAGGTTGCTGGTTAGAGCGCCATCCTGATACGCCAAAGTTGCAGGTTCAATCTCTGGTCAGGGCACATACAAGGATCAAGCAATGAATGCATAAACAAGTGAAACAAATAAACATTTCTCTCTCCTCCCTCCCTCCCTCTCTCTCTAAAAATCAATTGTTAAAAAGTTGCCTTAACTAATAAAGTGGCAATTATCCGATCTAGTAAATCCTATCTAATAAAAGTGATATGCAAATTAACCATCACTCCGAGACACCCACCAGGCAATCAGAGCAAGTATGTAAATTAACCCCAACCAAGATGGCTGCAGCCACAAAGAGCAAGGTGGAGGCTTGGGTTTCCCTGGCAATGGAGGAAGCCAAGCTTTCCACACATACCCTGGCCAGACAAGGCTTCCACTCAAGAGTACAAAGTTTCAATTATAGAATTGCTAATGATATGCTAAGGCTGCCCAACCATTCGCTATGACGTGCACTGACAACCAGGGTGCAGATGCTTCAACCAGTAGGTTAGCTTGCTGCTGGGGTCCAGTTGATCCGGACTGAGTAAGATGGGCCAGACATGCCCTGGAGCCCTCCTGCGGTTCCTCCCAGGCCTGACTGTGCACAGTTGGGGTCCCTCAGCCTGGCCTGCACCCTCTCGTAATCTGGGACCCCTCAGGGGATGTTGGAGAGCTGGTTTCAGCCCAATCCCACGGGCCACTTCCCTTGAGAGAGCACCAGACGCAGGGCTCAAGGCTGGTGCAAGCCTCTCCTGATCGGTACTGATTGTGCACAAGCCTAGTGGGGCATGAATGAGCAGGAGCGGCAGGTAGGAGCTGCAGGTGGCATCGGACTGCGGGTTTCAGTCCAATCCCTGCAGGCCATCCAGAGGGACCCCACCTGTGCATAAATCCATGCACAGGACCTCTAGTTAATTCAGTAAACACTTCTGGAAACTATTTCTTTATTATAATTAATTCTGCTCATGGTAAAAAAGAAACTGTCAAATACAGTAGAATTTGAAATCCTATACTATGAGGAGATTTGGTTTGGATAAAAAGACCTTGAATACATTATATTAAGTAAGATAAACCAGGCATAAAAGGACAATAATTGTATCATTTCACTTACATGAAATACATAGAACAAATTCATGGAGACTAAAAGTAGGTCAGAAAGGATGGGATGCTGGGGCGGGGAAGAGAGTATTATTGCTTAATAGTTATAATTTTTGCTTGGGGTAATAAAAAATCTTTGGAAATATATAGTGGTGATGGTTGCACAACATTGTGAATGTAATTAATGCCACTGACTTATACACTAAAATAATTAAAATGGCAAATTTTGTTATGTATATTTTATTAAATTAATAATGTACAATAAAAATATACTGAAAATCACTGAATTGTACTTTTTTGTTCCTGTTAATCTTTACCCTTGGATATTTTTTCTGTTGATTTTTAGAGAGGGAAAGGGAGGGAGGAAAAGAGAGGGAAAGGGCCGAGGAGGGAGGGAGTGGAATAAAGAGGGAGAGGGGGGAGAGGAGAGAGACACATTAACGTGAGGGAGATACATGGATATATCCACACACACACACACAGGACCAGGTGAATTACATCTCAATTAAAAATTTGTGTGTTTTTTTTAAGTTAAGAAAAGTTCATAATTTGGTCCTGGAATACTCAAATGACTAGGTATATGAAAAGGGCACAGACTTGCTCAGTATGGCCCTGGGGACAAAACTAGGAATTCCAAACCATAAACTATAAGGTGGTATATATTTCCACTCAAAACAAAGGAGAAACAATAACTAAAGCTTTCCAGAATCCTCAAATGTCCCCGGGGCAAAGCAGAGAATCATCACTGGAGGCTTTTTAGGCGAAGGCCCACCAGTCAGCAATGCACAGGACAACCCCTAAGAGGTCGACAAAGACCTTGAGTAGAATGCAAAAGTGTGTGTCTGTTTTTTCAAGTCCTTATGTTGATTCTCAAAGGGGGAGTGACCCCCACCCCACCAAAAAAAAAAAAAAAAAAAAAAAAGGTTAAAACACCACTACAACTGAGAAAATTCCAGCATTTCAAGGGATATTGTACTAGATCTAAAAATCCCTCCCAGATCTAAGGCTGTAAACCCTACAGGCCATACTCCTGGCTAAGGAGTGTAATGAAAAGAGAAGATATTCCCAAAAATGTCCTTGGGCTAAAATTTAGTTCAAATGAAGATAATGCTTATTAGGGTAAGGTTGAGTCAGATGGAGATTCTCTTCTCTGGGCCCACAGAACCCCAAAATTATGCCTCATTCTCCTGAGCTAGTTCCTCCTCATCTCCCCGAACTTTTAAAACATTAGGAACACTGCAAGGCACAACCCACCAACTTAACTCTGCTTTATTTAACATACACCCTGGCTTCAAATACCCTCTATAAACTGAGAACATCCATATTTATAATCTCCAGTCTTGAAGTCTCTAAATCCCAGACTTGCATATCTTTTTAATGGTTTTAGCTCTTAAATATTTAGGTCACTGATCTAAATATGGGCCACTGTGAGTTTATTTCTAGATATGGTTATGAAGAAAGACATCTATTCCTGAATGTCTATCAGGTGTCTTAAACTTCATGTCTCAAATCAAACCTTTAATATTCCCCATCTAAACCATTTAATTGGCTTCATCTTCAAAACATATCTCAAATGCAACAACTTACCGCCGCGGCCACCTCTACTAACCTAATTTATTGCAATTGCCATTAATCTGTCTTCTGTTCTCACCTTTGCTTCCCTCCAGTTTATTTAACAAGCAGCCAGTGATCTTGTTTAAAGCATATGTCGCTGCTCTAAACCCTTTGATGGCTTCCTATATCATTCAGAATAAATGCCCAAAGTGCTTCCCAGGGCCTACAATGTCCTAACTGCCCTTCCCTGGCACCCCCTCCCCCCCACACACACACACTTTTCTGGTCTCATCTTTTCCCTCTCCCTCCTTCCTTAAACCATCACTAGCAGTCCATGGACTTGTGGCTGTACCTCTAACAAGCATGCCCCGCCTTTGCATTTACTGTTTCCACAGATTGGAATGTTCTTCCCATAGAAATCTTCATGGCTCTAGCCCCCTTACCTACCACTGGTCTTTGCTCTAATTCTACTTCCTAGTGAGTCCTTCTCTGATTACCTTATTTAAAATAGCAACTGTGGCCGAGACCGGTTCGGCTCAATGGATAGAGCGTCGGCTTGGGGACTGAAGGGTCCCGGGTTCGATTCCAGTCTAGGGCACGTACCTCAGTTGCCGGCATATCTCCAGTAGGGGGTGTGCAAGAGGCAGCTGATGGATGACTCTCATCGATGTTTCTAACTCTCTCTCTCCCTTCCTATCTGTACAAAATCAATTAAAAATATATTAAAATAAAAAATAGCAACTGTGCTTCTCCTGCTACTCCTTATTCCCCTCTACCCCACAACATGCGCCTTTTCTCCATGGGACTGTGTGTATCACACCTGACGCGTGACATTTTAGTCTGTTTCCCCCCACTAGAAGGTAAACTCCATAAGAATTGTTCATACACTCCCAGTGCTCAGAACAATGCCAAGCACATAGTAGGCCTTTCGTAAATACTTGTGGAACTAATAAATATAAAAGCATGTTACATTACAATCGTCTACTTATATTTGCCTCTTGAATGCACTGTGAGCTTTCTGCAGGCAACACTCATTCTCTTGTGAATTTCCTGCACCCAAGACACAGCAGGTGGGTTGCTTTGAAATGACTACATCAACGACAGGCCAAGGGGGGGAAAAATCCTCAGCCTTTCGAACAATCCCTATGCTGTCACTCCGAGTGTGTGAAGGCGTCAATACCAATGCCTGCGCCTGCACGTGTCCTTCCCTCACCCTCGCCCCCTTCCACCCGTTATCCCCACAATAACCGAACGAGAGAGTGAGCTAACGGCCAGAGCTGGAAGGAGTATCAGGATCCGGGAGGAAAGAAATTGTGACCTAAGATCAAAGAAGGTGGCCGGACTCGATCCGACCAGAAACACTGCCCCGGGGGGTGGGGGGTGCCAAGAAGAGGACAGAGCCCGGGTGACGACCCTCTTTTGACAGCTGGGGAGGCGGAAGCCCCGAGAAGAAAGCGACTGGCCCGAAGTCACACAGCGAGCCAACCGGGGCCAGAGCCCCCTCTGACCGGCCCGCCGCCGCCCCGGCGGCCTCTCGCTCCGCGCGGTGCCCTGGGCCCCGAACCCCCGGCGGCGCACGTGCTCCCAGGCCCCCGGTGGCCCGCGCGGCCCCTGCTCGCGGCCCGTTCTCCGGCGGGGTCCGCGGCTGGGGCCGACGACGGTGCCGCCCCCCGCCTCCCACACGCCCCTCGCGGCCCGGGACCCGCAGGGGGAGCCCGGGCTGCCCGCTCGGCGCCGGCCGCTCACCTGGCCGGGTCCCTCGGGAACCTGAAGAAGGCCAGGTCCGACTGCGTGCTCTTCCGCGTGCAGTTGGGGGCCGCGCAGAAGTTCGGCATCGTCGCCCGCCCGCCCGCGGGCCGGCCCGGCGCTCCCCTCCCCGCCTCCTCAGGGCAGCCCGCCCGCCCGTCGGGGCCGGGGAGGGGAGCCCGGCCGGCCGGCCCGGCCGAGCGGCTCCGGCAAAGGCCGGCGCGCCGCGGGGAGGGGAGGGGCGGGCGGGCGGAAAAGCCGCGAGGGGCAGGAGGGGCGCCGCGGTCCGAGGCCGAGCTGGGGACGCGGCTCCACAGTGCTGTGAGCGGCCGGGAGGATTTACCGCCGCCACCGCCGCTGGTGCACCTCCCGCCCGCCCGGGACGCTGCCGCCTCCTTCCCACAATGCACCCCGGCGCCCGGGGGTGCCCTCTCTCTTCCCTTCGTCTTCCTCCCCCGCCCCTTCCTTTCCGCCGACTTCTACCGAGGCGGGCGCGCGTGCGCGTGCGCGGGGCAGCGGGTGCGGCGAGGCGGAGGCGGGGCCTGCCCGGCGGAGGAGGCCACTGCGCATGCGGGCGTGTCTCCCGGGGACGCTAGAGCTGGCGGGTGCGAGGCCTCTCCGGTAGGTCTGCCGTGCGCGGGGTTCTGCACCTCGGAGCCCAGCTTGCACGTTCCATCACTGGTGCTTCTCCGCTTGCTCAGGATACCACCACGTAGGCCTCTGTTGCAGAAATCGCCAGGCTTCTAAAGGGCCGCAGACTCGGGCCGACCTTGGCGACAGACTTGAGCGTTCCCGGCAGATCTGAGTGCACGAGTTAGATGCAGACGTGGGTTTGCAGAAGGTTTCATTTTGCCCCAGTGTTGCAGCTACTCCTTGGCACCATTAGCTTCTCAGAACGGTCTTCCCCGGCCTCGACTGAAAGCTGAGGTGCGAAAACTCAGAAAAGCGGTTGTTATTCTTTCCGGGTGAGGCTTCCACAGAGGATCAAGAAGAGGGAGCACCCTGATTCCCCTTGCAACCGGATAGAGAGAGACCTGTTCCTTTGGGTAGAGATCGGTCTCTTTGTCTTCCCCCTCACAACCGTGACCTGTTAACGTTCCCATATTTGCCACACAAAAAAATGAGTGACCGCTATCTAGAGCAAAGGATGAGTATAAAATTTTGCGTGAAAAGGAACAAGTCTGTAAGTGAGACCCACTACCTTTTAAAAGAAGCGTATGGGACTGAGGTCATGTCGAGGGCCAGAGTTTATGACTGGCACAAAAGGTTTAAAGAAGGGCGGGAAGATGTTCGAGATAATGCTCGGAGTGGCCGTCCAGTGACCCACCGGACGGATGAAAATATCCAGAAGGTCAAGGACTTGGTTTATTCAAACAGGCAGCTAACAGTGAGGATGATGGCTGAAAAGTTAAATTTAGACAAAGAAACTGTTAGACTTATTCTGAAGGAAAACTTGAACATGAGAAAAGTTCCTGCCAAAGTTATATCAGGTATTCGGAAGGGTGAACCTAAACCTGGGAAACTTGACTTTCTTTCTGGTCATTCCAAAGAAAGTAGGAAAAATGGCTTGTGTCTGAAGAAAGAGGTAGCAAGTTCTGAAACATGGAGTCACCTCCAGTGCGAAGCTGGTGGGGAAATGCCGCTGCCTGAACCTCATCCCAGAACCCACTCTCCTGCCAGCCAGTCCCAAGGCCTGCTCTTCAACAAGCCTTCCCCCCAGGGCAGCTCAGGATTGGTTCACCCTGTGGTGAAAGGACCTCCCCGAGGGAGCTGAACCTGAGCTAGAAAGCTGCCTCACTGTTAGGCACCTTCATTTACTGCTTCTCTACATTCAATCTTGTCTGCCACCCTCCATGCCATGGCTCTCCTAGTTACTCTGCTGGACTGTTGGGCCCGCCATCTTCCTTGCTGTTCTCCACAGCTTTGAAAAATCTTTAGCTGTTAACTTCTAATGTTTGCTTGTTCTTTGATTTCTTTTACTTAACAAGTTTGGATCTCTTCACTGCCCAGGCCTTAGATCATTGTGGCTGTCTTGTTCCTATGTTCTTAACGGTTCTGCCTCAGGGAGTCACACCAGTGAGAGGTGGGAGCAGATCTCCTGCTGGAGTCTGTATCCGCCCAGGGAGGCATACTCTTCCGGGAGGGACCCCAAGAGAAGGCCTCCAGTTCCAGTCTGCTTCACAGTCAGGGCCAGAGGTATGGTCCAGAAGGGAATATCATGCTGATATAGTGAGCAATACTAAGGGTCAGTGTGGCCCAAATGATTCATTGTGACCGCCCCCCCCCCCTGCCCAAATTGGTTGGCCAACCCATATTTGTATTGATCTACCCCTCACAAAAGAGCTGGGTTTGTTTCATTTTAGTCCTGTGCTTTCGACCCCCCTCCCCCCCAATCCCATCCCTACTCATTTGGGGTATCTTCTCTGCTGGAAGAGGAGGATCTGATCCCTGAAAATATAAACCAAGGGACTCAAACCCAGGCTGTGCTGTGTGGGGAGGGAAACCAGGTGACACCCTAGATCCTGTATTAAGGGAGTCTGCTGTCTACGTGCTCATGTCGATACCCACACAGCAGCCTGATTTTAGTGACTATCACCAACATTTTGAGCACCTGCATTTTTAGAACTTTGCTGGACACTGATAGTGTGACCTTATGATACAAAATCACCAAGTGCTGGGTAGATTGCATGGTAGGTGGTTCTTGAGCAGGATCTATAAGGAAAGATAGAGCAAGGGGCTAGGAAGTTAGGGAGAGCTTTCCAGGCAGGTGGAACAGCATGAGGCTTGGAAGCTACATTAGTAAGAAAATGATGGTACTTTTGGCTGAAATAGCAAAGTCCAAGGAGGAAGATAATGGTATTGCAGAAGATTAACAATTTGGAATCATTTTACTTCCTCTCCTCTGCTCCAAACTCTATGCCAGTCTATGAATAGTGGATAGGTTTATAATAACCTACTTACTTCATTATAATAACCTACTTATTTGATTATTATCTCATCAACCCCTTCTCCCCAAAGCAATCTATATACTAGTAAGTTCAAACCCCTTATATTTTCCTGCCTCTCTGCCAGGACTTATGGAATGGATCTTTTCTCAAGTGGATTCCAAGTAATGAAACATCTCAGCATGTCTGGTGGAGGTGAAGGATGGTCGGTAATCAATACCCTGTTTCCCCGAAAATAAGACAGTGTCTTATATTAATTTTTGCTCCCAAAGATGAGCTAGGTCTTATTTTCAGGGAATGTCTTATTTTTCCATGAAGAAGAATATGGTACACATTTATTGTTAAATGAAAATAAAGAAAATTTATTACCTGTATACGGTACGGTGGTATGGTAGTTGTCAACACAAACCAGACAAACTGAATCCTACAGTATCAAGAATTTACTCATTTATTCAATGACAATCATGTCATCATCTTCTGGAACATCATCATAACAGTCCAATTCCTAAATTTCCTGGTGAATTTCTTGTGACTCTCATTTCTTTCAGAATCAGTGGACCAAATCTCATGTTTAGCCTAGGGGGGCCTTATTTTTGGGGGGATGCCTTATATTTCACTCAGAAGGAAACCTGCAAGTAGGTCTTATTTTTGAAGGATGCTTATTTTGGGGGAAACATGGTAGCATTTCATAGGATTGCCCGATGCCTGTGTTTTACCCAAGGATTTTTACATATAACAGCTCCTATTATTTAATTAGTAAGTGAGTAAACAATATTAGTTGATAGTAGAGTTTACTGTTATTCAACAGTTATTTTTAGTTCTTTCCGTATCTTCAAAAAAAATTACAAGTTCACCACTAATATCTCTCAGTTTTGAGGCTCTCTGAAACCTAGATTTTTTCCCCACAAATAAAAGATAACGTGCAAGAAAACTCAAACCAAGCCAGATATATAGACTTCTACCTACTTAGTGATTTCTAGGTCTTCTATTTCTGGACAGTAACATTTTCCTACATCAGATGAGATCCGGAGTTCCCCACAGGCACTCTACACTACATTCTGGAGCAAAGGCCCTGTGGCTGTTTAGTGCAACTGTGTGACAACTTCATATTTAAAAAAAAAATTACTGAATTTGTTGGGATGATGTTGGTTAATGAACCTCATGTTAATCCTTAATAGTTGCAGAATTGTGTACTCCTGGGCAAGGGCCAGGATCCCATAACAGTACCTACAGACTTTATCTTCAACCTATTATAATACAGAGGTCCTGAGAGAACTTATATCTGGACTTATTCCCATCCTGTGCACAGAGCTGGAGTGACCATGCTGGAGTGTAGGGTACCAGGAGCAATGTTGGCCCCTACAGGGTTTGGACACAGCAACCGGAAGCAGGTAATCAAGGAGCTATACTGAAAATGACTTAATTATCTTAAGATCCTGTCCTGAGTAGAAGTCAAATGACTGCTTGAATCCAATACCCATTTGCAAAGTTTCCTAGAAAGTACTCAATGAGATGATAATCCTGTTGTACCTCAGATTTGCGGAAGTAAAATTACTGCCCAAACATTCATCCAGAGCAAACCACACGTGACTGTTCAGAATCACTAACCCCCAGGCTAGAGCATGATCTAGGAGTATCCTCACCTAACGTTTTTTGCCCTGGCCTGCACCTTGCTGCCCAAGGCTCTTGAGCTCCTGATCCTATAATCTAAGGGACCCACCCATCACCACGCCCCAGGCTCTTGTCCTTGGGTTTTCTCAAACCTCTCTCAAATTATTCTTCACCAGTTTGCTCTTGCTTCTCCGTTTCCCTCATGCTTTGTTTTCTGTTTCTAGACCACACCTCCCTCCAGTAGCTGCTTTGGTCACTTTGGTGTGCTGGTCTTCAATTGCCCTTTTGATCATTGTTTTTCACTCACTGTGCAACCAACTCCACTCTCTCCTGGGTTTTTTTGTTTGTTTGTTTGTATATATTTTATTGATTTTTTACAGAGAGGAAGAGAAAGGGATAGAGCAGCGTTTTTCAACCGCTGTTCCGCGGCACGAGATGTTGCCTGGTGTGCCGTAGGTGCAGACAAGACAAGAATTTTATAATTTTTCACTATTTTGTTTACTTAATATTTCATAATAAAGCAATTATAAAATACTTTCTTTGTGTTTATTTGATTCCTATTCAAGAGAATTACTTTATATATAGTCAATATAGGCACAGAGTTAAATTTTTTAACATTTTCTAATGGTGGTGTGCCTCGTGATTTTTTTCATGAAACAAGTGTGCCTTTGCCCAAAAAAGGTTGAAAAACACTGGGATAGAGAGTTAGAAACATCGATGAGAGAGAATCATCAATCAGCTGCCTCTTGCACACCCCCTACTGGGGATGTGCCCCCAACCAAGGTACATGCCCTTGACCGAAATCGAACCCGGGACCTTACAGTCCGCAGGCCGACCGACGCTCTATCCACTGAGCCAAACCGGTTTTGGCTCTCACCTGGGTGGTGGTTGTTGTTGTTGTTGTTTTGTTGTTGTTGTTTTTTAATATATTTTATTGATATTTTACAGAGAGGAAGAGAGAGGGATAGAGAGTTAGAAACATCGATGAGAGAGAATCATCGATCAGCTGCCCCTTGCACACCCCCTACTGGGGATGTGCCAGCAACCAAGGTACATGCCCTTGACCGGAATCGAACCTGGGACCCTTCAGTCTGCAGGCCCCACTGAGCCAAACTGGTTTCGGCTCTCTCCTGGTTTTTGATCTCCCTTCCAGCTCCTACTTCAGTCCTCAGTAAGGAAATTGTTCCAGCCCTGGCCCCAGGAGGCCTTCCTATCTTTAGAAAGTGGGATGGGCAACATGGGGGAATGTGTTCTTTTGTTTTTGTTTTTGATAAGGGGCCTGCAGAGGGAAAAAAGCTCCTTTCCTCTCCCTTAGCCACTCCCCAGGAGTAATCAGTGTTACCAGTTCCTTAACCAGTTAACTGCCACGGTATTTTGAATTTAACTTAAAAAGGTTCACTTCTGCCGAGACTGGTTTGGCTCAGTGGATAGAGCGTCTGCTAGCTGACTTAAAGGTCCCAGGTTCGATTCCAGTCAAGGGCATGTACCTGGTTGCGGGCACATCCCTAGTGGGAGGTGTGCAGGAGGCAGCTGGTCGATGTCTCTCTCTCATCGATGTTTCTAACTCTCTATCCCTCTCCTTTCTTCTCTGTAAAAAATCAATTAAAAATAAATAAATAAATAAAAAATTAAAAAAAGGTTCCCTTCTTTCATCTATAGTTGCTTATGGCATACAAATAGTTAAGGAGGCAATTGATTATCTCTGGTACTCAAGAGAAATTTTTTAGAGATGTAACAGCCAAATTCCATTCTCTTAGCAACTGTCTTTTCCTCTGCGGGAGGAGCTCCACCTGTCCTAACCATAGGAGGTGAAGCCTCGCTCCCTGTAGGATGTCTGGAGGAGAGCTGGCCATCTGCAAGCCTTGACCATAATTTTTGGACTTAAAATGACCAATTAATGAATCTCTTTGGCTTTCATGCTGATCTCCCTTCCCATCCCCATTCTGATTCAGAATCCACATGGACTGTTATGTGCCACAGCTGGAAGTCCAGGAGAACTAGAACAAAGTTGTGAACTCAAATTGTTTCAAGTAGCTATAATGCAAAGGACTTAATTTATTATCTTAGATCCTGTCCTGAAACAATGCTATGTTGGTAGAATAAACACTTTGCAGGGCAGATCATCCCATCATTGATTTTATCCAACTTTTCCACCCATTACCCCACCCTACCTTACTCCACCTGGTAATAAAAAGCTTAAAGAATAAAATGTTCACAGATCTTTGATTTTGAAAAATGTGGATAATTCCGCAGTCTTCCGAATTCTGCCACGGCTTTGAATCCTCACTGAAATGTGATTGGGAAGAATGTGTACCTGGGACCTGCTTTCCAGAGCCCTCCTTTCAGATCCATTTCCTAGTCAGAATTCACATTTGCCACTGGATGTGCCCAGATAAATCTGGTTGATAAATGATTTGAAGACATCTAGTAAAGAAGTGTGGCACTTTTGGGGAACAATCTCACTATATCAACAACTGTTCAACCTGCCTGCTAACTAGATGTCATTACCATCAATTCTTACTAGTCTTGGGATTGCATCTCACCAGAGTCCCATCTGGCTCAATTAGTAAGAGCTTCCTTTGCTGCCGGAGCTATATATGAAACCCTATGTCCTAACGTGTCTTAATTGGGTCAGACCGCTCAGATTTTACAGGCTTTAAAATTCCTCCTGGGCAATCCTCGTGTATTTATCCTCCCTACCCTCTGGCTTATTAGATCCTTGCAAATACTATCCCAGCTGCATCACCTTTCTCCCGGTATTGATATTCAGAAAGAAACAAAACAAAAAAAATCTGTAGTGGGAAACTTTAATCCCTCCAAAGACCCACTGAGGTCTAGTGAAGGGGTCAAAAAGGAAATGTTTTAGGATTTGTGGGCTATACAGTTTCTGATGTAACTACTCAGCATTTTATTGCAAAAGCAGACAGCTAATCAAGAAACAGATGAACATGGCTGTGTTTTAAAAAACAAACTTTATTTATGGATACTGGAATTTTAATTTCATATAATCTTCACATGTTACAAAATATTTTTTATTTTTTCAAACATTTAAAAAGATAAAAAGAATCATTTTTACTCTCCTTAGCTCACATACTGTAGAAAAACAGATGGTGGGCTGGATTTGGCCCACAGACCATAGTTTGCCGACTCTTGGTCTAGTGCAGGTGTCTGCAACCTACGGCTCCAGAGCCACATGCGGCTCTTTTGAAGCTTTGCTGTGGCTCCAAAGAGCCGATAGCGAGGGGGGGGGGGGCTGTATCACTTACCTTTGCTGAGCTGGAACAACCGGAGTGGCTGGAAAAATTACATTTTATGGTAGACATGACAGCATATCTAAGCACACTAAATACAACCCTTCAGGGGAAAGGAAGCACAGCCCTGCACATGCTGGAGGAGGTTTTGGCATTTGAGCACAAGTTGACAGTGTTTGTCAAAGATTTACAGAGAGGTACACACACTGTCTCACTTTCCCTCTTTGAGAGAGTTCAAACAGTCATGATACGATAAATTTGGAATATTTGAAGTCTGCAATCACCACAATGCAAAGTTCGTTTGGGAAACAATTCTGTGAGTTCAGAGAGGAAAAAACCACATTATCCTTCCCTGTCACTCCCCTGGCGATCAATCCATCCGTATTGAATATAACTGCATTTGCAGGTGTAAGTCAACCTGATCTT